GTGACTCACTTGATTATGTGATTTGCAGGTGGCAATTATATGGTAAAATGATCCATGGGCTACTATTCTCTTATTGAGTGGTCTTGGGCAACAATATTTGCCTAGTGGTCTTAGGCTGTGCAATATTTGCCTAGTTTTGATGTGTGGGGAGTGAAAGTGGAGGCCTGTATTTGGATAAAGCACTGTACACAGTTACATCAAAACTACACTTTATATTCTGCAAAATTATTCTCAACCAGTGGCTTTCCAGAGTGGAAGAGAGACAATTTAAGGACTGGAGAATGATTTACATCACTAAAATGCTTCCAAATGTGTAACATGCTTTACTATCTGAAGAAAAATGCTTCCACATAGGTTAGATGTTTCCTTCTACTTTCAAAACAATTCTTGAATTTCAAGTGTGCAATTCCAGTATAGAATGGACAGCGGTTATGCTCAATTTAGGTACAGTTGCCACAGGACCAACTTGGAATAATTAGGAAGGGAGCTGATTTCAAATGAATAAAGATATGCATTACAGAATACTTTCTTGGAATTAAAAGATGCATTATGTACATCTTGCCCTGCTAGAAGTCCAATTGTCCTGAATAGATAGGGGTCCTGCCTTGGTGCACCAGTGTCCCAGCCTGAGACCTTTCAGGATGTGTTTAATGAATTCTCTAAGATAATCCTCAAGAAATGCTGTGTACACCACAGACTGGCCTAACAAATCTGTCCTATAGCTGGCATAGCCTTTGAATCAACCACCAGGATCTACACCTTCAAATTGGTCCAGCCCAAAATGATAGTATTTGGTGTATGATAATACACTGAGTAATAATGGCTGGTATTAAAATTGGATGGCATAATAATGGATGGTATTTAAATTACAGGGATTAAAAACAAAGCCCAATGTAAGAATGGCAAGATTAATTTTTAAAGTCTCATTAGTCTTTTCCTGAAGAAGTCATCTTCTGTTAAGTACATAGAATAAATTTGCCAAGAGGTAATAAATGGGACATCAAATTAAAAAGTTTCTGCACAGCAAAGGAAAAAATTAGGAATATGGAGAGGGGACCTACAAAATGGAAGAAAATATTTGCTCTCTACTCTTCTTATAGAGGGTTAATATCTAGAATAAAGAGCTCAAGAAACTTTACAACAAAAAAAATCAAATAACCCAATTAAAATTGGGCAAAGGAATTAAACAGACACTTCTCAGAAGAAGAAATACAACTGGTGAAGAAACACATGAGAAAATGTTCAACATCATTAGCAATTAGGGAAATGAAAATCAAAACTACATAGGGATTTCATCTCACACCAGTCAGAATGGCAACCATCAAGAATACAAATAATAATAACTGGGTGTGGTGGTGGACGCGTGTAATCCCAGCAATCTGGTAGGCTGAGACAGGAATTCAAAGCCAGCTTCAGCAATTTAGCAAAGCCCTAAGCAACTCAGCGAGTCCCTGTCTCTAAATAAAACATTAAAAAGGGATAGGGATATGGCCCAGTGGTTGAGCACCCCTGTGTTCAATCCTCAGTACCAATAATAATAATAATAATAATAATAATAATAATAATAATAATAATAAAGAATTCTAGAGAGGATGTGAAGAAAAAGAAATACTTTTACATTCTTGGTGGGACTTTAAATTACTGTAACCACTGTGGAAATCAGTATGGAGTTTCCTCGAAAGACTAAGCATGGAACCACCATATGACCCAGCTTTACCACTCCTTAGTATTTATTCTGAAGAATTAGTCATATTACTATAGTGATTCATGCATACCCATGTTTATAGCAGCACAATTCACAATAGCCAAACTATGGAACCATCCTAGGAGTCTATCAATGGATGATTGAATAAACAAAATATGGTATAGATACATAATGAAATTTTATTCAGTCATAAAGGAAAAAGAAATCATGTCTTTGCAGGAAAATGGATAGAACTAGAGACCGTCATATTAAGAGAAGGTCAAGTGTTATATATTTTCTCTCATATGTGGAAGCTAGAGAGGAAAAAGGAAAAGAAAGGTGGTAGTAGGTCTCCTAAAAACCAAAGGGAGATCATAGAGGAAAATACCAAGAAGTAGGAAATGGGGAGGGAAGGGGAAAGTGCTGGGGAATTATATTGGCCAAATTATATTATTGTATTGTGTGCATGTAAGAATATATAAAACAACCAAGTCCATCATTATGTACAACTATAATGCACCAATAAAAAATGTGCAAAACTTTTTTAAAAAAGAAAAATTTAGAAAGAATAAATTTGCCAGATCCTCAGTGGCCCATGACATCAACTGAGAACCTATTGGCTATACACATTAAGATCATTTCTTTGTCCCCATCGTTCATTTTTCCCAAAGTAGCTAAAACCTCCTAAAAGTGAATTCCCATCATCAGCAGCAGCACATTGCCAGGACAGTGCCTCAGGATGCAATTAAAGCAAGCCTACATAAGGTGAACACCAGGAACTATCAATAGATGTGGGCAAGCCCCTGAAAGTGGACAATTACCACCATGCCCTCTTTTGTAACAGGGCTACATAAAAGGAAAGTGCAGGGGTATTTTAAATGGCATTGACTCCCATTAGATTATCTACCTAAATTTACATGTTGCTGCGTGATGCATATCCATATCTGCAAAGCACACTTGAAAAAAAACTAAAGATGTCAACTTCTATTGACATTAAACAGTGGGAAATTTTATGTAGGCTTTCAGAACTTTCTATGCAATCCAGTTTTTTTTTCTTCATAGAATCTATGTACAGGGTATTTCCTTCCATTTATTGTGTTTTATGATCCTCCACGCTTGTGAGAGAAAAAGGAAGTCAGTGGGGTACTTTTTTCTCTCTTTCAGACCAAAAGACGGGTTTGGGTATTTTTCCTTCCTCAAACAATTGTATAAAATATATATTTTTTAAATCCAAACTCTCAGCTGGTGATATTTTTGCTCTTCTGAAGCCCATCCTTTTCTGTTTTATCCTGTTCCTTCATGTTCTGGGGTGTTCCTGGGATATCAATCTCAACTCACAATTATTTGTCTGCCATTTAGCCACAAGGTGTAAATTTGCTAACTGAAAAGGTGTTCTCTGACAGTTAATCTCAATGTATGTCCAAAGGCTGAGCTCACTGCACTGGAAAATTTCCCCAGAGGATTATTCTGTAGAATGGGGGCCATTTGTCGAGCTGTCTGATGTATATGGAGAGAAAATAAAAGGACCTGCCAGAGAGAAGCAGGCTCATATGGCCCCTTTCAGAGCCAAGAGAGAAATCAAAGGATAATTTCCTGTCCACTTTAGTTACCAAGCATGTTTTGGGGATCCAGGTCCTAGAGATATTTTCTTATTAGTGTTTTTAAAGATACCACCTAAACAGAGCCCCAAATCAAGGAATTTGGGCAAACTTAGTGATGCCCACAGGCTGTACTCAGAGATTACCACCAACTCAGAACCTTTTGTCTGTAGCTAAGACCCACGCAAGTTCTTCAAGGATCTATAAAAGTTTTTGGAACCAGAAGAAAAAAAAAATATATATATATATATATATATATAAATATATATATATATAAATATATATATATATAGAGAGAGAGAGAGAGTAGTGTTCCAAAGTCCAAAACCACATATCTATAAAAATCAATATTATTAAATATTTAATTGAATGTCTACAAAATACCTAATATTAACTTCGTTATCTAATTTACTTTTCTTAAAAATTACATGTGAATTCAAATCTGCATTCAGTTTTCTCACTTTCCAAGATTTTGAACACACTAATCATAAAAAATTACATATGGCCAATAATTTGAAATTCAAAATGTTAAGAACCCTCTTCATTTTTTACACAGGAATGTCTAATTTCAGGGGGTATATGGAAGCATTTAGTGTTCTTTATTTGATGCATGTGGTCAAACCTAAAAAACAAGAGTCTACAGCTCATGAAGGTTCTAAAACAGTTCTGCACCTGTCACCTCTTCTTGGTGTGTATGATTATTCCTGCAGATGCGTATCTGCTCAGATTCTAATAGGGAGGACCAGAAGGCAAGGTGGGGTGAGGGAGGTTCTGCTTTGCTGTTGCTGTAAGCACCCATAGTTGAGGTGAAGTGACAGGGCAGGGGTCTAAGTCACCTGTGTACCACTGGAGAAATCACAGGATGGTGCCCAGTTCTGCTTAAGACCAGGAGTTCACAGAGATGGAGAAGCACAGCCATCAGCTGGGTCATGTGGGAATTCTAGTGTCTCCTTGTCTAAACTGCGTTCTTTCTAAGAGGTGATCAGAGCCTCTTGTGCCCTCGTGTTCTAGCCAACCCTTCCCAACTAAACAGAACTCCATTTTAGAATAGAAAATTGCAAGTAGAGAGAACACGAGAAAAAATGGATTATCTAACTTCCAAGTATAGTTGATCCTGGTCTTTAATTCAGCAACGTAACTTCTTCAGGTCTTGTTTTATTAATGATATATGGGATAATGACTACTGACTCCCTCCAAAGATGGAAAGTGACCCTTCCATGTAATCCCATTCCCTCTAACAATAACCACTAACAATATTTTTTGCAGATTTTTTCCTTTACATATAATAAAGTATTAATAATTTATCCTATGATGTGATGTAGTAATGAATAAGGTTTTTACAATAAGTTTTCATTTAACAATATTTCTTAGATATTACCCATTTCCGTACCTGCAAATTCGCCTCATTCACTTTGATGATCACATGGTATTCCATTACATGTCTGGGCTGTATTTTAAGTGGCCTTTATTGCTGGACATTTGAGTTGGCCATTCAACTTTGACCTGTCAAGAGAATGGATGATGTACCTGAATATGCCACTGTATATCATCTACAAACATAAACGCTTTGCCCCCTGTTTTGTCTTAATTCATCCCAAGAGCAGCAAAAAATCAAATCTTTCTCTATAATGGCACTTATTATTAAATGTAAATCCTATATGTAATTTGTCTTTTATTTATTTATTTGTCTTTTGTTTTTGCCTTTTCCTCTTATGCAGTCATCTACAGCCAGGGACAAGGATGAACCAGCTCTACCGGTAGGGACCAGTGGCCCTGTCTGCCTGTCCTGTGCCTGTGGAGAGCGTGGGGCTGGGGTGGGAGGAAATCAAACTGTATGGTCAGCAAATCATCCTCTCCCTTGGAATACATATATGGTTTAATCCACTGGGTCAAGTGTACACTCTGTCCTACAATGAGTAACAACTGAATTGTGACATTTGCTGACAATTATTTTTGGTCCTAGGTTTCGAAAGTTTGAATTCTCTCTACCATTGGGCATGAACTTTTTCATGAAAAAGTTGAAAGAGAAATTTCCAAACTACATTCCAAGGGATGTTGAATTGATATTTGGTGGGGGACAGCGTGGAATCTAATGCTTGATAAGTGTCTTGTGTGTCGCATGCACATACTTTTTAATTTAAAATTTCTTTTGGTCTCATCAAAAGAAATGCTGCATGAAACTTATGTATTCAATATATACATAATGCCTGAAAGAATGTTTTAAGTTCTTCTGTAGATAGAATTCTATTCTATTGACGGATGCCCACAACAGAGTTCTTCCAGTTTGCCAGAATAAAGACACAGTAACAATAGTTATGAGAGATAATTAGCAACAGACACAATTTCCAGTCCCTGTCCAATTAACATATCCTACTTTGTATTGTGCATCCTGGCAAGGAGAAGACCTCTGAGTCCTTGTGTTTAGATATCAGTGGTTACATTTCAACTTTATTGAAGTCTCCTAACCTTAATACATGTTAAGATATATACTGAGGTATATGTATTAATATCATGAGCCCTAATCATCTGAACCCTCTATAACTTAATAGTTAATCAACACATTTAAAAGTGTTACAGATTTTCAAGGCTAAAATGACCAGTAATGAAAATATTTATGTCCCTCTCCTTCCTCCCTTAATGCTCAAAGCAAAGACATAAGATATTCATTGAGAGCCCAGAGCATTCTAGTTCCAGTCCCAGGCTACAGGCACAAACCTCAGTGTCTTCCATTGAGGAGTTCATGATCTCTTTCACTATTTAGGCACCTCTGATTCTTCTCTGAACCCTGTTGAGTTGGAAATATAATTTTAATAGAAAAAGCAATTATAATAAATCTTATGTCTACATGTACCTCACATTGAGATTTTATCCATATTTCAAGCTCACTACATGTTTCATATTTACCACCAAATGTTTGGACCCATGATCATTAATAAATATCTAACAAAATAAGGGACATGTTGGCAACAGTTTGGAAACACTACCAAAGTTACCAGATCTCATTAATGGAAGACTTAGTGGTCTAATGTGTGTCTTGAAACTCTAAAGATGACCTGGTTTAGCATTTTCTAAATATAGTTAATTACGGTGTCTCTTATGAAATTTTCTTAGAAAGCCCCCTTGAAGGTTTGGAATATAGTCAAATATTTTGGAAAACCCTACAATATGGAAGGTTGGAAGACTGTATTGAAAATAATATTTTATTTTTATTTGACTCCAGAAAAATTCCATATCAAGCTTTTGGACCAAAATTTCAATAAAAAGTTAATTCATTTGTATTATAATACCTCCTTCCCCCTTAAATCTGTCTATCTATAAAGCTTAGCTGCCTCTGAGCATCTTCTCCTGTGATAAGCAGCAAAAAAATCCATCAAGAGGAAGAAAGTAGTTTCTCTTCAAGAAAAAAATCTGTCAAAATATAGTGAATTTATGGTGAGATTTTTTTAGTCTATTTGCTTTTGTAGATAAAAGAAAAAGAGTGTGCTGGTAAACTCATCTCTAGAAGCTCATTCATCCTCTCACATCTCAGATCCATTATTTGGGCAAAGAATCACAACTAGTATGAGTTTGTGTAAAGAAAGAACCCTCTCTCCTCCTTGGGAGCCAGGAGGATTCTCCAGGGATCCAGGGTAGAAGGCCTTGTCTCTTCAGCTTTCACTAAAACAAAGCATAGTGCTTTCTGAATTAGAGCTGTGGTCCCCAGGGTTGAGACAAGGTCTCCCCAGAGACATGCAAGCTGATCCTTTGGGGATCAAGGATAAAGATATTAGCATCGTCTTCATTTACTTTCTGTATCATTCTTCTTAGTTTAAAAATAAAACATTGTATATGCTCATAATTTAGTGTGTTTATGTAGATAGGGATATTAATGTGAACATTGATATCAATATAGACTTATTATATAACTATAGTTTATTAATATGGATATTGATGTTGATATACACTCAAGAATTTTACCAATGGCATGCACCAATCCAAAATTTTAGAGATAATCCACTTCTTTAGTACCAGAAAAAACAGACTTGAAACCCACACCTCTGTCTCTCATTTATTGTCTGTGTGACTTGGACATTCATTGCACTTCTCTAAGAATGTTTCCTCCTCTATTTAGGACCAAGACTTAATAGTATCTACTTCATGGGGCTAACTTTGAGAATGAGATAAGCAAATGATGTGTTGCATGTAGCACGTTGCCTTGCATTCACTAAGCTCTAAAACAACTGGAAGCAATTAAGTCTTTTAATAGGAGAGGTTGTGAGAAAGGTATCCCCACAGGAGGTTAGAAATGTGCTCTCAAAATCTTTGGTTGAATGACATATGATCCTGTGATAGAAATGAGTGTCCACCAGGCCAGGTGAGGGTCTTATCTATAATGCATTTCTGAGAACTAACAATATCTTTGGTTTCTCTGCTCAGGCTAAGCCGCGCCTACAGCGAGGTGGAAGTTCTGCTTCCCTCCACAACAGTCTCATGAGGAATAGCATCTTCCAGCTCATGATACACACCCTGGACCCTTTGGCAGAAGGTAAACATCAGGCTTTGGTGTGGGAGCTTGTGGTGGGGGAAAGAGGATATCAAAGGATTTCCTTCACAAAACATATTGACGCCTGTCAAACTCCTCTTGGTTAGCATCTACCAGAGGAAGCCCTGCCCTCTGATGTGCTTTATGTGCCACAACTCAGTTCATGGTGGGTGGCATTGTACCAGGAGGAGGATGTGAGTTCCATGTGCTGTTTCTGTCTTTTGATACCTCCAGGATGAATACAGTTTATTATGAGGCAGAGGACAGAAAGGTTTCCCTCCCATCCAGCTACAGTAGCAGTTTTCCTTTATCATCCTAAGTTTCAAAACAGAATTGTTCATGCAGAGAAGTTGTGTACCTTAAAAAGGAGAGAGAAAAAGAACTCCAGAATTTAGGAGGGCCACGAGTAATTTGAAGAATTATGTTCACAGCAGAATATTGATATTGTACTGATTTTTTTTTTTTTTGGCAGTTGAAGGAGGGGTGGGGGGAGAGAAAGCATCTAAACATCCAAAGATCTTTAAGGTAACTGATAAGGAACAGTCATTGGAGACCCAAAGAGCCTGGGTCACCTCCCAGGGTAATTGTAAATACCATCACAAAAAATCCAGTGTGGATTTTCACAGGTTTGCTTGGTGCAATGAAGCCAAACACATTGTTTCTTCAGTTGCATTTCAGTTTCCTAAACAATTCATTTTTCCACTAGATAAATATCTGATGTGTCAAATAAATATCAGAGTTTTGCCAGTAGCAAGAAGTTCTGATATAACCAAGTCTGTTCTGCTTCACCCCGAACCTTGCAATGAGGCATAATGTTACACAGGCACTAATAGGGATCCTGGGGAAAATATGGCCTGAGAAACAGGTATGTGTATAGAACACACTCGCTCCAGTTGTCAGTCCTACCACATTCATCAGACATCTCAAACAGTTTCAAGCTTTGCTAAGTAATTTCAAGGACACAGGCAACCAAGAGTCTCACATGATGTTAAGAAAATTCTGGAACTCCAAAAAACAATTCCCTGGTTCTACCTTTTCTCAGTGGACACATGCCTATCCCCCAGAAGAATAGGACCACAAGGTCACCTCCCTCTGCAGAGCATGGAGCATTTCTGTTATGAAGCCTCTCCCTGTTACACCCCAAAGTGTTGTGCAGCTGATGAGGAGTCCCCCAGTACACCCTGCTGCATAGATTTCATTACTGTTTGCAAGTGATAATCCTTCCTTGGGGCATCCTGAATACCATTACTCTATTAACCCAGAGGTCTATTAACCCAGACTGGGGCTTTAGACCTGCTCACTAGCCTTCTTCTTTCCCTTGAGTACAATCACAGAGGAAAGAGTAAAGGAATCGCAGACCAACTGACACAAAGCAGTCTTTGCGTGACTTTGGGCTAGGCAGGATCCCTCTAGAACCTGGCTTCTTCATCTGCAGTAATATTTCTCATTGTCAGGCACTTTACAGTTGATAAAGCATGTTCATACTTGTAAACTTGTGCGTCACAATCATGCTGCCTAGCTAACATTATTCTCCTTTCATGAAATATTGGACCTCCACCCACCCCCGCACAGGCTCAAGTTTCTCTCCTGTGCTCCCTGTGCCTGCACTTTCTTCCAATCCATCCTCACCGCTTCCCCCAGAGGCTACCTAGTGGGTCTTCACTTCTTCTATTGCCTCCATCTACACACAGTTTCCACACAGCAGCCCAAGTCATCTTAAAAAGTAAATTGGATTATGTCCACTCCGGTTTATAATCTTCAGCGGTTATCAGGGCTCTTAGGAAAATTATGAAACCCTAGCCACGGTCTACATGATCTGCCTTTTGTTCCAAACTCAGTTGGGCCCACTTTGTTTTAACCACAAGGGGCTTGCCATCTTCAGACAGACGCCTCTTCTAGGCCTTGGGATCTTTACAGTAATCTGTTCCCACCACCAGGGCACTTTTCCCTCCCTCCACCCCCTCCCATTTCCTCCAGCTGTACTTCTTCCATTATTCCTGATCATCCGGTATAAATCAAGGCCCCAACCCTCTCCTCTCAGTGCACTCTTTAGTTTTACCTTATCGCACACTTTAGAATTGTGTGGTTATGTCTTTTGTTGCCTGGCTGCCAGGATACAATAAGTTTGCTGAGAGCAGGGGCTCTACATTATTCACCAGTTGTCACCAGATCCTAGCAGAGTGCGTAGTAGCTGCTAAGGCTACAAACCTAGCCAAAGTCATGACATTGAACTGATAGCCACATGCTTCTGAAGCCTGTAAAGCCATACCTTAAAACTGTAGGTGAATTATTTCCTGGTTATTTTGAGCTACCATCTTCTCTACCCCCATTTTCTTCTACCCCCATTGTTGAGAGAAGAGAGGAATCATTTTATCTGCCCCCAACTCAATCAAGAGCAAGTGACCGTTTATTTGGGGCAAGGCAGTGTTATGTAGTAATTAAGAGGAAAGACTCAAGTCCACACTCTGGATTCAGATCCCAGTTTTGCATTTACTAGTTGCTTGACCTTGAACAAGTTACTTCACTTCTCTATTCCTCAGCTTCCTCATCTGTAAAACCAGGACGATACATATCAATATCTGCACAGTAGGGTTACTGTAAGGATTATAGGAGTGAATATGTACACAGCTTTTAACATGTTGCCTAGCATACCATAAGTACTATAAACAGGCTTGGAATTATTTTACTTCATTATTTTGAAAAGTGATATTTTTTAAATTTTGTAATATTCAAAAATTATAGTGAAAAAAATGCCTTCCTCCTCCATCAACACCCAACCTCAATTTTCTCCATTTCTCTTGAAGAAACCACTGTTATTGTTATCAATTTCTTGGGACTCTTTCCAGAGATATGCTAACATATATAACTTTGTGTGTGTGTGTGTGTGTGTGTGTGTGTCCTTGCCCACAGGTCCCGGCCATCTATATTTCTCTTTTTGTTTGGAGGAATTCAGTTTGTGATAGGGCTTGTTTGTATTTTTCCTGTGTAGAGGGGAGGTTATGTTTTGTTTCTGTGAGATAAGAGGAAGTGAATCTGGGTTGTCTCGGAGTAGGGCCCTCAGTTATTTTCCAAAACACCTGGTCCTCGTGGAGCTATGCTGCAATTAAGCTGTTTATTCCTGCCGTGGTGAGCTGTGCCTCCAGAATCTGAGCTCCTATTTTCAAGGTGAACCCTCTCCCTGAAAGACATGGAGGGCTCCAGTCGTGAGAGTCTGAGAGATGCTGAGAGCTCTAATCAGTTCTGGACCTGAGTGATTAGAAAATATGGAAAGCACTTGAGTACTTTAAAATTGCTCCATAGCACATAGCCAAGAAAACAGATTGCTCTGGTATTTTTCCCCCAAAATTCACAATCATTTTCCATTCCAAGAACAGCCAAAAAAACATTAACCCACAGCTCTCAGAAATAGTCATCTCTCTTTTACTTTGCATCAAACCACTTGAATTCACACATCCTTGTGCCAAAATGCTACCTTTGAGTACCATAGAGCTTACAGGTTACAGCACCATGTTGATTCCAGGAACATTACAGTAGCTTCCCTTCTGTGCCCAAAGACAGTCCACTGATGTTTCTGACATTCATCTGAGTAATGCATAGGCACCACTGGTATCAGCAAGCATTCACAAAGGGACATATTCAACTGCATTTGAAAACATCATCTAGGACAGATGGCCTAGGAAAACACATTTCCCTTTGTCTCATCTCTGCAACTCAGGTATTTTTTGTCTTCTAAAATTCAGTGATTGAGTCCTTGCTAAAAGCTTTCATTAATGGTTGTTGGTTCGGCCTCTGAGTCTGAGGCCCAAGATCCAGCAGTGTTTGTGTTTCACTCATTTATTGAAATGTCACAAAGCACCCAACATTCAGTGGCTTAAAACCACTACCACGTTATTATTGCTCATGATTTTGTGCATCAGAAATTTGGACAGGGATCAGGTGGGTGATTTTCCTGTTCTATGTGGTATTGGTGGAGGTCATTTGGTGGTATCCAGCTGGTGGATAGGTAGGTTAGAAGGTCCAAGAGTGTCTCACTCACATGACTGGCACCTTTAAAAGTACAACTGGAAGGCTGGGTTTAGCCGGGTACCCACATAGCCAGACTTCTTACGTGGTATCTAAGTGTTCCAAGAACAAATCTTCCTGGAAGCCTAGGCAACAGGTACAAGGTTTGCATGACCAGGCCTGGGAAGTCCCAGAACATCACTTCTACTACATTCCATCAGTCAAGCAGTCACTAAAGCCAGCCTAGACCCAAGGAAAGATTTGCATCTCTACCCCCTCAATGGGAGGAATACAAAGAATTTGAAGCCACTTTAATTCAACCCAGACTTTTTCGGAGATCCACACCATGGATTGTGCATTGTTGTTTGACATGCCCTGGGCAGTCCACACTGTGTGGAAGGAATATGCCAGTCAGTCTGCCAAGCAAAGCTGAGCGGTGCCTTTTCAGGGACACAAAATTCTGAAAGGGACATTTTCATGAAAAAGAAGGAATCTGCCTACAGCTTTTAAGAATGGTTGGAATAAAGATTTTGGAATAAAGATATTACTTATATTCATAAGTAAGCCTTGGGGAACTAGATTTATCAGTCTTTGAGATTACACCATGATTCTCTGAAATGATCTTTCTAAAAAAATTCACTGTCCTGTGCTGATTTTAACATTTTCTCTGAACAAACTATCATGCTTTCCTAGGTATACATCTTTATGAACCTAAAACAAAGATGCTGGATGTAGCACTCTGGGAGTCAAGCAGCCTCTCCTGTCAATTTGTCTCATTTTAAAATACTAACATTTGCAGGGTGCTTACTGGCAGGCCAGGCACTCTGCTGAGTGTTGCATGTTAACCAACTTATCCTTAGCCCTGTCCCACTCCATCATATGCAGGAGGACACTGACGTGTCTTACCTCACTACTGAGGCACAGGAAGCCTGGCAGAGCTTGGCTTGAACTGATGTCTGCCTGACTCTAAGTTGTGTTGGTGCTTCTTATACTCTTGTGCC